CGGACGAAGTCAGACGCGCGCCACGTTACTCCCGGTCGCCCAAACACGAGTCCTGGGAAAGCAAACAGGAAATGATCTTGAGCGCCCATTGTTTGTTTACGGGTTGTGCAACGGCTATCTCGAAGGCTTTTCCGGGTCCTGAAATAGACATTCGTGAAACAGAAAACTGTAAATATTTGTTTTATTAATATATTACGTTAGCAAGAGGCCAAGCGTCCTTGTGTTTATGTAAATTGCTGCGTACAAAAGTGAAATATTCCCCGCACCTTTTGGGGGACACGCAAAGGATCCCGATACCAATAGCGCCAGATAGGAACTTACTGCATCGTTGGAATCGCCACAACACAATGTCGGGGAGAGCCACGGCGCACGCTCTCTGAGGAGGGCGACTTTACCCAGCGGAAGAGGGGAGAAGGGAAAGAAGACGCAGGATTTGCTTGCGAGTCGCCAGCTTCCGAACTCATGTGCAGGAACCAGCCCGTGCAACAGTCAGGTTAGTCTGATGAGTTCTGCGTGAGTCTTGTGTTGGTGATGTGCAGGATCCAGCCCGCGCAGGTGAAAATGAGTTTTGCGTGTGTACTGTGGCGGTGACTATTTGCATCGGTAAATATTACGTATCTTGGGAGTCTTGTTTTGGCGAGCATTACTTCGGCATTTATATGGCTACCATCAAATTATAATTCAGTTGTCGTTGCTTTGAAAATAATAAGGGTGATCATCGTCTTAAAATCGCATGGATTAATTGTCACAATTTGTTCAGTACCTCATAGAAATAGTCATTCACAATAATTTCATTTGTATGGTGCCATAATAATAAGTTTAGAAATATTGTTTGTTTTAAAATATCTTTGCCAATAAAACTTACCAGATTTACTATGAGCCACGTACCTATCAGCGTAAATCAATCTCCACTAAGCCACGTAATTCGTTCCATCAATCTTCTCACGCCCACGAACACCCATCCTTCCCAAACCTATAATTAACGAAAGCCTTTCGCCTTGTGTAACACTGCTCGAAGAAGAAAAAAAACCTGGCCACACCTAAACCCTCACCTCCCTCCCCCCAGGTGACAAGATGCGCGGGGGTGAAGAGAGTGCCAAGGTGCCCTCGTCCCCCCCGGGGCGGCCGAGGCAGCAGCAGGTGTCTCGTCTGCGTGTCGTGGTCCTGGGAGCCGAGGGCGTCGGCAAGTCAGGTGAGTCATCCTTCTGGTGTGTGTACATATATACACACAGAATGTATATATATATATGTGTGTGTGTGTGTGTGTGTGTGTGTGTGTGTGTGTGTGTGTGTGTGTGTGTGTGTGTGTGTGTGTGTGTGTGTGTGTGTGTGTGTGTCTGTGTCTGTGTGTGTGTCTGTGTCTGTGTCTGTGCGCGTTTACTTGTATGTGTCTGTGTTTGTGCGCGTTTACTTGTATGTGTTTGTTTGTAAATGCGTGTACTTGTGTTCATGTTAGTATGCGTTTAAGCATGGGAGAAAACACAGCTTCTCATGAATAAGTGTGTGCGTGTAATGAATTACGTACTTGTATTTACACACAAAAAATGTATGAATAATGAATTGCATGAATAATCCGAAAGCCATTATGAGGCCCTAAAAGCTATCATTAAAGTGCTTTTTAAAGGTTAAAATGTGTTCTCAGTTCAATAGATTCATAATTGGAAACCATTATACAATTGTGATAATGTAGGCCTAATAACGATTTAAAAAGGGAGAAAATACGTAGGAACTTAACCATGGATTGCGTAACTTTTCTTAACTGTATCTCTATGTTTAATCATCAGAAAATACTTTACTGTATCTTTATGTTCAATCACCTGGAAATAAGTCTATATATTTTTTTCTTAACCGAAATGGTGTTCAAATTTGTCTCTCTTAGGACTGCCCGTAATTTCTTCTCACCTCTTTCATACGGGAAAAAAACAGGGGGAAAGGAGGAAAATAAGAAAATATAACGAAAGTAAGGATTGGGAAGAAGCAAAGAAAAAATGGAGAATAGTCAATACAACATCCTTCTCCTCTTGGCTCGCATCACCCGATAAGGAGACGAGTTATTCTGGTCTGCACGAGCTAGTCATACCATGGCATCTCTGTTTATCTATCTATCTATCTATCTCCATTTCTCTCTTTTCTCTCTTTCCTTCTCTCTCTCTTTCTTTCTCTTTCTCTTTCTCTTCCCCCCCCGCTCTCTCTCTCTGTCTCTCTGTGTCTCTGTCTCTCTGTCTCTCTCTCTCTCTCTCTCTCTCTCTCTCTCTCTCTCTCTCTCTCTCTCTCTCTCTCTCTCTCTCTCTCTCTCTCTCTCTCTCTCTCTCTCTCTCTCTCTCTCTCTCTCTCTCTCTCTCTCTCTCTCTCTCTCTCTCTCTCTCTCTCTCTCTCCTCCCTCTCTCCCTCTCCCACTCTCTCTCTCTCTCTCTCTCTGTCTGTCTGTCTCTCTCTGTCTCTCTCTGTCTCTCTCTCTCTCTCTCTCTCTCTCTCTCTCTCTCTCTCTCTCTCTCTCTCT